GGACATGCTTCTTTAGACTCCCCCTATCTCCCATGCCTTTGCCCGACGGTGTTGGACTAACCCCCGCAGCGTCACGCCCGATCTTCCATCATGTCGACTGATAAGATCACCTTCCTTGCCAACTGGTAAGAGGAATCGGGCTTTCGTGATGCCGTGGACTGCCCGTTGACCGTGTGTTTTTACAAAGGCACGCCACCCCCTACCATGCACCATTGTACCTGGCGCAGGCCAAGGGCTACTTCAAGGACGAGGGCATCAAGGTTGCTCTCCTCGAGCCCAACGACCCCAGCGTGAGTTGTCTAAACTGGTATCAGGTCGGCGATTGACAGTTCGTTAATCATGGTTCACCTGTAGGATGTCACCGAAATCATCGGCACCGGCAAGGTCGACCTCGGTTTCAAGGCCATGATTCACACTCTCGCCGTAAGCTGTGTCGCCTCTTCCGACCCTCCCCTCCATAACTGACACAGCCTCCTTCCAGGCCAAGGCTCGTGACTTCCCCGTCGTCTCCATCGGCAGTCTCCTCGACGAGCCCTTCACCGGCGTCGTGTACCTCAAGGACTCGGGCATCACCACCGACTTCCGCTCCCTCAAGGGCAAGCGCATCGGCTACGTTGGCGAGTTCGGCAAGATCCAGATCGACGAGCTGACGTCGCACTACGGCATGTCGCCCGAGGACTACACCGCCGTGCGGTGCGGCATGAACGTCTCCAAGGCCATCATCCGCGGCGACATTGACGCCGGCATCGGCCTGGAGAACGTCCAGATGGTCGAGCTCGAGGAGTGGCTCGCCGGCCAGGGCCGCCCCAAGTCGGACGTGCAGATGCTGCGCATCGACGAGCTCGCCGAGCTCGGCTGCTGCTGCTTCTGCTCCATCCTCTACATTGGCAACGAGACGTTCATCGCCGAGAACCCGGAGCGCGTGCGCGCCTTCATGCGCGCCGTCAAGCGCGCGACCGACTACGTCCTCGCCGCGCCCGAGGCCGCGTGGGCCGAGTACGTCGACTTCAAGCCCGTCATGGGCTCGGACCTCAACCGCAAAATCTTTGAGCGCAGCTACGCCTACTTCTCCAAGGACCTGCAGAACGTGCGCCGCGACTGGGACAAGGTGACGCGCTACGGCAAGCGCCTCGGCGTGCTGAGCGAGAGCTTCGAGCCCAACTACACCAACGAGTTCCTCGGCTGGAAGCTCGAGGGCGAGTCGAGCGATCCCACCGGCGACCAGAAGCGCATGGTCGAGCTGCAAAAGGACGTGGCCTGCTGCGGCGGCTTCCGCCGGCTGCCCATTGAGATCGCTGCCGTCAAGGCCTAAAGAACGGGATAGAATCACCGTCCCGCTTCTCGCTTGATCTGGAGACTGTCGCTCGCTTCTTCTTCGTCGCTTGCAGATCTTGCCTTGCGCTACAGATAGCGTCCTTCTGAAAAGAGGATGTTGGATGCCAATACACGATGAGGCTCACTCTTGACACGCATTGGTGATGTTGAACCAGGTGATCGTGCTGAATCCGTGAGGTTGACAAGTGCAGGACTTGGAAGTGAGGAGTCAACTGCCTGTGCCTCTTATTTATACCCCAAGCATTCCTAAATATGACGACACGACAACATTTGTGCTGCTGTGTTCCCTGCCATCCAGCCTTGATACCACCACCAACAGTCGTCACTTAGCTGGATGACTGCTTCGGTAGATGCTTCAACGCCATGTTCTTAAGTTCCATGACTTGTTGATGTAGGTAAATCTCCCATAACAACCTCACCAGGGCATCATAAATGACCCGCAGCACTGACCGAAACGTCATGACGTGAACACAAGCGATGCAAAGATGGCCAGGGCAAAGTATGTTCTTTTGAAGATATATACGTCAATCGTGTCGGATGCTTCCAAAATATGTACAAGAAGTTCCAGCACCAGTGCTGTCTCAGCTCCAATCTATCTAGCCACCCATCAAGAAGGGCAGGGCAACCGCAATTTTTTTTTCCTGTTCGTCTGTCCGTCTGTCGAAGCGAAGCCTTAGACGCGAGGATGAACCGCTTAGAAAGAGGGGTTGGCGTTGCGCAGAAGCTGCTCGAAGTAGGCCTGGAACCAGGTACCGGCCTCGGGGGCACTGTGTCACTGTCAGCTACATGGTTCATCGTCAAGATAATGGAACATCAGGAAACTCACGGCTTCATGGACGAGGCGCTGCCGCAGAAGTGGTCGTAGCGGACAGCGGTGGTGTCGCTGGTGCCGTCGGCCTCACCACCGGGCTTGACCCAGACGAAGGCGTCAACGTCGGGGTGGCCGGTGTTGGAGGTGGGGCGCAGGCCGAAGCCGGTGCCGAGGGCGTTGCACCAGTGTCCCCACTCCTGCTGGCCGGTGGGCTGCTTGCCGGAGCGGCCCTGGTCGATGATGAACTTGGCGTCCCAGCCGTTCTGGCGGAGGAGGGGAGCGAAGGCATCGACGTAGTGCTTCTCGTCGTAGTTGGGGTTGGCTGGCAGGCACTGTGTTAGCTGAGGGTGCTTCAGGGGCCAGCAAAGGTCCTTGACTCACGGCTGGTGTAGGGGGCGGGGCTGGTGGCGTTCCAAGCGTTGTAGTTGGAGACGTTGGTGGCGAGGCCACGGAGGGACTTGGGCTTGCCGGCTTCCTTGTAGATGTCGGTGAAGATGGTGGCGGCCGGGCCAATGTTGGCGGGCCAGCCGAGCCAGCCAGCGTGGCCGGCATCGAGGTACTGGGCAACGTGGGGAAGGTCAAGCTTCTGGACGGCGTACTTGGTGCACTCCTTGTAGGCGGCGGCAGCGTTGGAGCACTTGGCGACACCCATGTTGGTGACCATGTTGGCGAGCGAATCGGGCTCTGTTGACCTGTTAGCTTCACACACAGCTGTATCTTTTTGCACGTGGACACATACCAATGACAAGCAGGGTGCGGATGTCGTTGTACTTCAGGAGGACGGTGCGGATCGAGTCAATGTAGGCCTTGTACTTGTTGATACCGTCGTTGGCGATGGACAGCTCACCGTTGGAGGCGGCGGCGGCGCAGTCACGGTCAGGCAGGTTGTAGACGACGAAGATACCGGCGTAGTTGCCACCGGCGGCGTTGGCGCGGCGGATGTCGGCGAGGGCGCCGTCGATCAGGGGAACCTTGGCGGTGGTGTCCCTACGGAGTGTAAGTCAAGGGACACGAAGACAGGCAAGCATCCAACACAAGAAAGAGAAACTTACATCCACTGGAAGGTGGGAACATCGGCAACCTTGGCGGCGGCGGTGGCCAGGGGACCGCTCAGGCTCGGAACGGCGAGGGAGGAGACCTCAGACCTGTAGTAGGCGTTGGCCCACTGGTTGACGCCGGCGAAGGGGTTGCCGGAGTAGGTGGCGCCGCCGGGGGGGGGAGCGACGGTGGTGCCGGGAGGAGGGGCAACAGTAGTACCAGGGGGAGGGGCGACAGTGGTCGTGGGGGGGTTCACGACGGTGGTGGCGGGACGGGTGGAAGAGGCAGCGGTTGTGGCCGGGCGAGTGGTGGTGACGGCCGGGGGAGGAGCGGCGCCGGGCAGGCACTGGCTGTACCAGGCGTTCTGAAGCTGGCACGTGGTGCCGGAAGGGCAGCAGGTAGGGCCGGACCAGCCTTGGCCACCGCACTGGCCCCTGAGAAAGGGTGTTAGCTATGACCGTCTCGTCGGGCCTTGCGGGCAAAAGAGTGCTTACCACTGGGAGGCGCAGGCCTGGCGCTCCTCGAGAGGGGCAGCGAAAGCCGCGGTGCTCAGGAGAGCAGCGGAGAGGAAGAGACGTCCAGCCATTGTGAGAGTAGAGAACGGAAGTCGTAAGAGAGATGATGGGGCTGAGGGCAAGAGAAGAGTTCGTGACAAGACGACCGAGATGCCACCGTCTTATACCAGCTCGCGAGGGTTTGCTCCCCCTTTGCTTTAGCTCGAGCCAAGCCTTTGGTCGACGGAATCACGGGAAACTTCACATATTGAGCTCGATATGGAATGAAAGCTTCTCCACGATGGCGGAGACGGAGAATAGCCATTGTCTGGGGTTCCTGGCTCCATCGAGACAAGCGGAGGGGATCCGAAGAGCCGAGAACGGCATATGGCCCATGGGGTCTGGAGGCGGCATGCGTGCCTGGTGTCGCTCACGGGCGTGGCGGCGAACATGCCGAGCCGTCACGCAGAGCCAGACTCCCCCAGTGCGAAGACATATGCGGAGGCCAAGGCACACGAGTATAGAGACAGTCGAGGGAGGGTGAGGTGAGGCAGATCCCAGGGGCAACCTTGCTCAGGTGGCCGACGGTTGCTGACCCCCCAAGCGAAGCGCAGCCCCGTTCGTCAGGGTCGGGTTGCAATATCAGACATGCCGTCGAGAGACAGCTGCCAACCAAGGAACGGCCAAGCGCTGCGTAGGCTAGGCCGGAGCTTTGGTGTAGTTCGGAGGCATGGCTCCTCCGATTTCCAGATTGGGAAGGGCGCCATGATCCCCGGGGCGCTTCGTATGTGGGGTATAATGAGGTTGTCAGGGGTCGTACTCTGGGTGTGTGAGGGGTAAAGAGGGCTCAGATGAGGCTTTAGGCTCGTGTCGTACACAGTCAAGCGAAGAGAAACACGCTCAATCATGTCCTCGGAAGTGCCGTCCGACGATGCGTGGCGACAATGTGAGGGGGGACAGCAATTAGGCTTCAGGTTTGAGGCCTCGACATTGGTTCACCGAGTACCGACTCAGCCGATCAGTGGCGTACGGTTGGATCTCGGGATAATAACCAACAGCATAGGCAGAGGTACAGAACATATGAAGTCGAGATTGCAAACCGGAGGCGTGGGAGGAAACACGGCAGGGAGAGTGTTTGCCCCTGCAATCAAAGGGGCACAAGCCACTAGGCCACTCCATCCACCACGGTTCTCTGAGGCAATCAAGAGGCATCGGCAGCACCGACAAGCTTCGATCGCCGGATGTTCAACTCTCTTGGACGACGGCGATCGACGGACGAACTGGACCCTGAAGAGCAACGGGCTTTTGGTGGTTGTGGCCATGATGGACAGGAGCCTGCCACTTTGCCATCTCAGGAAAGGCAACACTATCCAGCAGAAGCTGATCGTGTCGGAAATAGCCCATGGCGCAATTGACAGCAAGCGGTTCAGAGGCAACTTAGCCCTTCCCGGAATCGTGCATTGAGAGGCTCCGTGTCCGATGCAGCAGGAAATTCGCCGTGATGCCTGTTCCGATGGGCATGATGATCTGCGTCGTCTGTCAGCAGACAACAGGACAGACGGCTGTTCGTCCCGACTCAGCGCCGGGCAATGATGAGACAATGGTCTCTCCGTCATCTTGGTCACATGCCAGGTCAGGCCGTCGAGTCAAGGTCCCCCTGCTCTGAACCTGGATGGATGGATGGCCATTGGTTTCCGCAGGTGCTGGTGCCGGTTGGGTTGGCGAAGGCTTCACTTCCCCAGATCCCACAAGAGCTGGTCTGTGCATGTCGTCGGTCACGTGAGTTTATGTCCGATCCACAGTGGCCGAGCACCAGATCTGAGCTATCCCTCACCGCCTGCTTCATACGCCCCCTCAGGGTCGCGGCAGAATTTCCCCTGACCGAGTTCCCCGCCAGGAGCTCCAAGACGGCGACACGACGGATCACGGATCATCGTCGCCGAGCCCAAAGACGCACGCCCTCGATCCGACTCCTAGTCACGCCCCCGCGCCTCCGGCTCCTCCGACAAGATGCTGTCCGGCATCCTCGTCTTCAACCAGAAAGGCGAGAACCTCATCTTCCGCGCCTTCCGCAACGACTGCCGCCCGCGCCTCGCCGACGTCTTCCGCATCCAGGTCATCTCCAACGCCCAGGTCCGCTCGCCCATCCTGACGCTCGGGAGCACCACCTTCAGCCATGTCAAGCACGAGAACATCTATCTGGTGGCCGTCACCAAGAGCAACGCGAACGCGGCGCTCGTGTTTGAGTTCCTGTATCGCTTGATCGCCTTGGGTCGCGGCTACTTTGGCAAGTTTGACGAGGAGGCTGTCAAGAACAACTTTGTGCTTGTCTACGAGCTTCTAGACGGTAAGCCTCATCTGCATTGGTTCACGCAAAGAAAGGAAAAAAGATGGAAGAATCCGGACTGACGAGAGGACGGTTCGCGCACACAGAAATCATCGACTTTGGCTACCCGCAGAACACGGAGACGGACACGCTGAAAATGTACATCACGACCGAGGGCGTCAAGTCGGAGCGCGCGGCCGAGGACTCGGCCAAGATCACCATGCAGGCGACGGGCGCGCTCTCGTGGCGCAAGGCCGACGTCAAGTACCGCAAGAACGAGGCCTTTGTCGACGTCATCGAGGACGTCAACCTCCTCATGTCGGCGACGGGCGCCGTGCTGCGCGCCGACGTCACGGGCCAGATCGTCATGCGCGCCTACCTCTCCGGCACGCCCGAGTGCAAGTTCGGCCTCAACGACCGCCTGCTCCTCGACAACGACGGCCTGCTGTCGCTGCCCTCGGGCAACCGCCAGGGAACCAAGGCCACCAAGGCCGCCGCCGGCAGCGTCACGCTCGAGGACTGCCAGTTCCACCAGTGCGTCAAGCTCGGCAAGTTCGACAGCGACCGCATCATCTCGTTTGTGCCGCCCGACGGCGAGTTTGAGCTCATGCGCTACCGCGCCACCGAAAACGTCAACCTGCCCTTCAAGGTCCACGCCATTGTCAACGAGGTCGGCCGCACAAAGGTCGAGTACAGCATCTCCATCAAGGCCAACTTTGGCTCCAAGCTCTTCGCCACAAACGTCGTCGTCCGCATCCCGACCCCGCTCAACACGGCCAAGATCACCGAGCGCTGCACCCAGGGCAAGGCCCGCTACGAGCCCTCGGATAACGTCATCGTCTGGAAGATCGGCCGCTTCGCCGGCCAGAGCGAGTTTGTCCTCAGCGCCGAGGCCTCGCTGTCGAGCATGACCAACCAGCGCGCCTGGAGCCGCCCACCCTTGAGCCTCAACTTTAGCCTTCTCATGTTCACGAGCAGCGGCCTGCTGGTCCGCTATCTCAAGGTCTTTGAGAAGAGCAACTACTCGAGCGTCAAGTGGGTGCGGTACATGACGCGGGCCGGGTCTTACGAGATACGCTTCTGAGCCAGATGCGTGGGTGCGAAGCGGAGCCCGCAGGCAGGGGGGGGGTTAACGACGTGACGGAGGCGTGTTTGTCGATTGGTGTATCACATAGCATTGTTTGGCGTAACGGGGATTTCTGGCAGCCGGCGCTGCCCCAAAAAATATACCGACGGTTTCAATCTCGCAGTCCCTGTCCCACGGCTGGAAGTGAGGCAGTGCAGTTCGACGACCGGCAGATGCGATTCGCCAAAAGGGGTCCATTGGCTGTCCTCGAACCCCATACTCAGGTCTTTTTCCTCTATTCCTGGCGCTTACACAACAGCTCTACATGCCATTACTTCTGATTACAATTCGACCGTTTGTCCACGGAAAATCTCATGCAAACTTTTCGTTTTCCACCTTCACACGACCATGGCGTAAGCCCTGGGTCCATCGCTCCTGAACAGTTTCGTGCAGACAATTCAGATCTTGTATCGGTAGCCCGGATGCAGCCAGCCAAGCTGCAGTTCGTACTGCTCCTTCGTCTGCCCAGCAGCGACCCATCGCGCTTCGTCAAGTCGGTAATCCCGCTCACCTCGATCGCGCTTGTGATTCTCAGAGCGCATCCAGAGGGGCGTGATAATACCAATGGCTAGCAGGCCTGTTAGGCAGCCAAGATTGATAGCGTGTCCCCTGACGTAGCTGTTTCTGTTAGCAGGGTTCCACGACTGCTGCTCAAGGTGCACTTACGCCGGTGCTTCCGTCTTGATGTACGTGAAGGAAGCAAGGAACGCAGCGAGGTTTCCGACTGTCAGAACGAATCCTAATGCGATAGCACGAACGTAGTGAGGCCTTGCGTTGATCGTCATCCACGTCAACGCCAGCGGGGGCAGCGCATTCACTGACATGGCAACAAAGAACGTTCCGGTATACTGAACTGGCGCTGAAACCTTCATCAGTCCGGAGTCCGTCTGTCCACCCACGAGCAGCAGAATGAAGCCGATAATACCAAGGATGCAGCACACGTTCAGAGGAAGTGCGGTACGTCTTATGCGGCGGCTCCAGTAGCAGATACCCAGGGTGAAGAGGAAGCCGACAAAGTTGGGGGGCACTGTCATGAGACTGGCTTGAAGCGATTTGAAGCCCATAGTTTGGACAATTGTCGGAAGGAATAGGGCGTATGAGTAAATGGCTTCGATAGAGAAGAAGGCTCCGATGCTCATGATAAGGGTCATGAAGTTGAAGATTGCGCGCTTGACGGTCTTGAATTGCAGATGGTCTTTTGCTGGCTTCTCGTCAGGGTTGACTGTCGATCGGAAGTCAACATCGTTGGCAACGGACACGTTCGAGTAGTATTGGTGGTCCTGGCTGTGCATACGACGCAAGGCAAGGGTACGTTCCCGATCGGTGAGGAACCTGGTGTCGCGGGGCGTATTTGGAAGGAAGCAGTAGGCGACGATACCGAGGATCACGGTGAGGGCGCCTTCGACGAAGAAAATCCACGGCCAGCCGTTGTAGCCGCTGAGTCTTACGCGACCGAGCCCGCCGGCGAGGAGGCCACCAACCGAACCAGCGAGAGGGGCGCTCGAGTAGAAGATGCCGACCCGTGAGATCAGCTCGTCCGGAGTGTAGAAGAAGCCCAGGTATATCAGAACGCCGCCCATGAAGCTGCTTTCGGCAAGGCCTAGGAAGACGCGGGTGACGCACAGGCCGGCGAAGTTGGT